TAAATTAGCTTATTCCCCACTTCCCTCAAAAATTTATGTAAACTTACTATGTAATATCTGCATAATGAATAATAAAGAAACTGAGGAAAAGACCTCACTTAAAAAAAAAAAAAAAAAAAAAAAAAAAAAAAAAAAAAGAGCCTTTAGCTTAGATATCGATCTGCATTATCTGTCATTATCAAGGTTTCAGCTTCAGTCGTTTCCACTTCAGCCGCAACAATAAATACTATAGCACTAGGTTAATGCGCGGTATTGTGTGTCCGGAGCATGTAATGAATCAAAAACGTAACTTTTATATCACCTTACTTAAACATATGAGTAGGGCGTTATTTTGAATAATGGCCCGAATTAGGCTTAATTTAGGCCAATATTTCGCGCTTATACCCCCTTTCGGTATTGACTGTCGAAGGGGGTTTTCCTGGCCGATTACCCATATAAAGTTCTCGCTATGCTCCGGACAATTAAGGAAATATGAATAAAAGATACAGAAATAACTATGTAAAGGTCAATAAAATTTATCTTTTAAATAGTCATAAACCAATAATTCTAATAATCCTCCAAACTTGACTACTAAAGCAATCATTTCACGTCATACTATAATATAATGATTTATATTTTTGAAAAAAAGTATTTTCAATAAATCATAAATTTATTTCAAAAAAAGTATTAAGCATTAATTTTTTAATATTCATAAATTATTGTTTAAATTATTGTTTACATAATTAGCCCCCCTTTTTTCCTTTTTTTCTAAAAAATTTAATATTACATGAATTTCTTGACAATTAATTGATTTAAAAATAAACACAGTTTATCTTTGACGAATGTTTTTTTTTGTTAGTTAAATATAAATGTCTTTTTTTAAACTCTAATCTATTAAATTTTTTTTTTTTTTTTTACTTTGACAATATATGAAGTAATAATGTTATTATTATTGTAATAATAAAACCAACATCAAACTTCAAATAATGTGGTTTTAGTATATTTGATGATGATGATGTTGATGATGAACTAATTAAAGTTTTTGGATCTATTATTGAAGGCCTATATGGATTTGGATTATCTAAACTTGTGTATCTAAATAGTATTAAAATTTAGTTAGAATCACTTTTCATAAATAACATAAATGAATATTTTTAAATAAAAAAAGTTAATACATGCCCCATAGTTTCCATGGTTTTTTTCAATTTAGGTCCAATACCGCTCCCACCACTAAAATTTCCTGTCGCTGAAGCCAAACTTGTAATAGTCGTTCCGTTCCTAGCTTGCGCTCCCATAAGAAAGTCCGAAGTATTAGTATAAGTTGTTCCATCTACATGACTAATACTAGATCCTTGCCTGAAGGGATTAAAAGATGTTTCCAATATCAACGAGTCATTAGATTCTTGGAGTATGAACGCTAAGGACTGTGGTGTCTGTGTTAATGAATGCATCTTTTTTGCTAGTGAATATTGATTCGATTTATAAAAATTATTCTCAAAATCAAGTTGAGTTCCTGAACGTCCTGAGAAAAATTTATTTAATTGCGTTGTAACACTTGAAGTTTTTGTGCCATTACTGAATGTCATGTACTTATCAAACGCCCATTCATAAAATTTTATTTTATCACTGGCTTGTGGGTCAGTAGAATCTAAATCAAATTCTTCGGTGCTCATTGGATCTAGGGCTGGCATTGGAGTTACTATGCCAGTTACGTATTCTTCCCAACTAGATCCAAATCCAAGTCCATGAAATAACTCATGAAGCATTACATAAAGAAAATCGTATTGATCAGGTCTTATGGGTGGATCACCAGAGAACCAATATGGTATATCAGAATTAAACATGGCAAATATATCATAACTAGTATATGTTGGATGAGTAGGTAATTGAAATTGTTTGACCAAAGCTTGAGGATATAATCTTTGAACATTATCATCATCTTGCATTAATATCCAATTTGATGGCGCAGCTTGACCTGAAACAATCATGTGATTAATTAATGAAAATAAATGCTATATACAGTGTTAAAATTAAAATTTCTTTTCAAACATACCTAAAACGATTTCATAAGGACAATTTGGGATACCATTACAAAATGATACATAAGATGCATTAAGAATTATTCGACTATTTAAGATAAAGGTTGATGAAATTATTTGAGTTGCTGTATCAAAAGCGATTTTGACTTTTTGGCATATAGTATCATTAGCATTACAAGTCAAATTTATATCAAACATTGTAACATTCGGTGTCGCTGCACTCAATTTCGATTTTGTAGTTTCTTTGACCATTTCACAATTTACATATGATAAATTTCTTGGATTGTTTGGGTTAGCAGGAATATAACATTGAGCTGAAATTATTGTCGGCATTGTGAGTATAAAAACGAAAGGTATTATTAATAATAAAGTAATAAAATTTATTTTCATGGTTTATTTTAAAAAAAAATTCAATGGTCCACAAAGAATATGAAATATCTATTGATCTCGTTGAGAAAGAAAATTTCAAATTTACTAAAACTACTAAAACTAGAAAAGAAAGATATTTAACATTTAGATTTGCGTAATAAATGCAATAAGTATTAATTTCTATAAATGGCGCCAAGAGAGTACACAAATAATGTAATACATTTTTTACTGCGGATGAAAAAAATGTATGTTGAAACATGTTTAGGATTATAATACACAGAGTTTTTAGGAGAAATCGTTATAATTATAAAAGACAGATTTTTGTAAATCATCTTGGCTTCTTGGTTTTCTTGGTGAAATTGTGAAAACAGTAATGATAAACATTTAGATTTAACGTTAATACAGTAATAGTTATCACTATTCTACTAACGTTCATGATGCTAACTAAATGCAGGTCCCATGAACCCCTGGCAGTCCCCACAAAAATTGTTCCCTCCCGTGATTTTCGACTAATCAAATTCCAAGATCAGGTGTAACGTAATCGAAGAGAATCCTTTTTTTTCGAAATTTTAATTAAGAAATTACCTTCTGCGATTTAATTAAAACTGCTCCTCATGAAATTTTACTAATAAAAACTCTATTTTTCTAACCCTAACCCTAATCCTAACCTTAACCAAACTACAACGCTGTTTTATTCTCAGTATAATTACAGGGGGGGAACAATTGCGCTACCTAAGATGAGGTCCCATGATAAACAACAAATCGCAAATTATAAATTTATGCAATAAAAAATCTTGGTTAAATTGCATACATTAAATACACGAGTCTCTAATTGATAGTCTAATTTTGTGATACTATTCTGTATTTAGAATAATTAAAAAATGCATACCCTGTTGGGATATTTTGCTCTATAACAATGATCAATTGGTCAATTATGCATTTTTGCACAATTCACTACATCATTAATACTATATATGAGTGATGCCAAGGGGAAACCTGTAAGTTCGTTTTTTTGAATATCTACTTTTAATAAAAAATATTTTAAAGCCAAGTAATTGTGTACGTAAGATTTTAATATTATTCGAATCTTCTCATTGAGACGGTTCAAATGATATTAAAATCTTGTGTTAATTAATTTCTTTAAAATATTTTTATTAAAAAGTAAATATTTAAAAAACGCTTACATATTTTCCTTTATTAACTGTAAGATTTAGAAATTTAAAACATGTTGGTCTGCATTTTTTTTACTTTAACGCATGAATATTAGGCGTATATTTATTGATAATCCCTCCAATAATTACGTTTCATCGATCGATCGATTTTTAAATCTAACGAATTAGGACTAACTTTAAATTAAACTAACCTTAGTGGGAAAATAAGAACCATATGTACCGTAAATGGCCATATAGACGACCCGGGTATGTTACATTCCACCAATTAAAAAACTTGAATTATACCCGGGGGGTATATTGTTCGGAGAGGGGGTATAGTAATAGGTGGATTTCTTCTTGCCAAATATAAATTACTAATAAAAAACACCGGGTCTCTTACATTCCACTAAATTTTTAACCCTGGTTTAGACCCGGGTATATTAGAGGGGGGTCTACTATCAAGGGGGGGTCTTTTATATGGCCATTTACGGTACATTCCATCAATTTTTTTAAACCCTTTAATAGACCCGGTGAAGGGAATTAAAATTTATGTGATATATATAATGTTCTAATATCATACCCGGGTCTTTTAATCATTGTTTCTTATAGTATACCCAGATCTTCAACATTCCACCAAAATCTTTATCTACCGGGTTGGTGAAAAGTAACTGGACAGTGACCTTTTTTAACCCAATATGATTATCAATTTAACGTTTCAATAAATTAAAAATTATTACAATTTTTATTAATTTATTGCAATGAATACTAAACGTTAAAAAAGGTCACCGTCCAGTTACTTTTCACCAACCCGGTATATTATTATAGACCCGGATCTGATTCATGGTGGGTCTTAGAGATGCGGTTTCTCCGAAAATCCCGCGCGGGATAGGATCACAATCTGTGGGTTTCTTAACTTTTGTGTCTAATAAAAAAAAACCATGCAGAAATTTTTGTTGAAAGTCAATTTTCTTGTTCTACTGTAATTTTCAAAATAGCGGGCGTGGGCGTTATCTCGAAATTCGGCCCGAATTAAGCTTAATGCGGGCCAAAATTCAAAATAACGCCCATGTAAAAGTATGGTAATTTATTGGTAAATTACCGTAAGTTACCGATGAAAGTAATCTTTAAATGAGCATTTGGTAACTTACCACTAACAACCCTGCCCATGCCCGCTATTTCGAGTATTTACGGTAAATATGTTAATACAGGCCAGATATTATATTAATGTCAGCCAGGTGATGTGGTAATGCCGGCCAGATAATTTTATTTGGGGTCATATTAAAAATCCCGCGCATTTACGGTAATCATAAATATCCACTTATTCAGCATCACATTATTTCAAATGTCAATAAATGTTTTGTTTTCAAATTATATAAAATATATTTAAACCCAAATTTCAAAATATATAAAATACAATTGTAATATATCCTTTAAAAATTTTGAAACATACACATATCCTTTATAATTAGTTTCTTGTACCATACTTAATAGGATTTCTTTAACCTCCTCCACATCCACCGCCGCCGCATCCACCGCATCCACCACCGCCGCATCCACCACCACACCCACCACTACCACCACATCCACCACTACCACATCCTCCCGAAACAACTCCGCAATTGCCACAACTGTAGAACGAATAAGGCAATGTACTAGCTGTTTATAATAAAATTAGTCTTCTAATTTCTATAACTAAAATATAACAGATTCTTACTGAAGGATACCTACCGTAAAATAATCCAAAGCCTGGACTAATAGCACACGTGCCTGAGTAATTATTCGTCCTAATACAGTATATAATAAAAATAAGCTTATCTTTCATCTGATGAAGTATAAACTATACAGTCAATTCTAAGTGCAGGTATTATGTTTAGTCTCTTTAAAGGCAATTTCGTTCTGCCCAAATTCATAGGGTTTTAAATAATTTACTATAAGTGCAATCTTTAACAAAGTTTGTATGCTAAAAATGCATTTTAGAATATTTATTGACCGTATATTCACACATATATGTGATTATATTTACCCTTTTTCTTTATCTGCAATCTTTTCATTGGCTTCTTTTGAAACGTTTTGCGTATTCTCTTGTTTAGCCGTGCCCTTTTTATATTTATTCATCTTATACATTAGATAAATAGCATAAGGTGGTAAGATTGCTGCTGCGATCTTCTTCTTTGTTGTTAACCAATACTTGTTTGGGTGCTCGCATGTATATGGCTCTTTAAATTTTTTATACCAAGCATTAGAAGTTTCAGCAAATCCATCAGCAAGTGACGATTTTGACAATGTATCATCATGGTTAATAATTCGATTCATATGATTCTTGGTGAAATTACGATATAATGACGCAAAAAGCATATGTGTATGCCAGCATAGATCAATATCCAATGTTGGAACCAAGAGTTTACCGGTGTCTTTTTGCAGAAGTAAAAACCTATGATATCTAATAGTTGCTTGAGCCTGGACAGTTATATTATTTACCCAGGCATTATCAACCATTTTATGAGTAAATTCACGTTGACGTACTACAGCACTCACAAGTTCTATCGAAAATGGTGATATAATTCCTGAATAAGCATGGATAACATTTCGGGGAATTCCTTTACGCACATTTACAAATAAACGTTGAGACTTTAGTTCATTGATTCTATTTTTTATCTTTTTGGAAATTTTTTCCCAATTACAATTTTCAGAACTTGTCTTTGCTTTATCTAAAAGTTCCTTCCATGTACTTAAATTGAACATATAATCCGAGTCAGAAATAGCTTTCTCTTCACTATATTCGCCATCAACAACACTAACTAACGTGCCTCTATTTAATGAATTGTAAATATTTAGATCATAAGGTTTTATCATTATGCAATGAATTTTGCAATAAGAAGCATACGTACGCAATGTAAACTTGTTTTTCATCATTGTATTTTTGAATGTCATTTAAGAATCTCTTAGCACTCAGAGTTTCAACTGACAGCTTACAATTGCATTTACTACACGATACGAAATGCTTTGGGGTCCAAATTAGCTTAGTGTATTCATTACTATATATACATTAAAAAAATAAATAAAATTTACTTGAATAATAAAATTAAATGTACAGTACAATATATAGAGAACTTACGCTGCTATCATTATTGTTGTAGAGCACCATGGACAAACTAATTCAAAACTTGAATCATCATTTGGATCAAGAACCCATGATTGTTTAGTATTCTCCTCCCAAAATTGTTTTGATCGTTCATCGAAATGATCTCCTTTATTTTGGCTCCAAAGTTCATGCTATTGAGATCAACAAAGTTTTATTTAGTGTTGATGAAAAAAAAGTTTCTTTTTCTTTTATAGAATACTAACTAATTTAGCCAATGGGAAACTATATTCTTTTGATGATGGATCATGCAGACGTCGCATATCTTCATAATATCGAAATGGTGAAAGTAAATGTGCGTGCCAAATTAGGCATACATCTAAAAAAATTTTTGACCTTGTATTTCATATCAATGATATTAAAGCAAAATATTATTGTATAAATGTGAAATAATGTCTGCGCGTTATTTCGAATACCGCATGAGCGTTATTTCGAAATAAAGATTCATGTCAAATAAATAAATTGTGTTTTATTGGAATGCGAATTAATTTGAGACCACGTACGCTACACGCATTTTTGAAAGACTCGATTTTTAAAATAATGCTCACGAGTGTTATTTCACATTTATATGGTAACCTTAATCAAATTTGACATACCGATTGGTGGAATGGGCACCTCTTCAACATCTTTAAAAGACTTATTATTCAATAGTCCTAACCACAATAAATACCGTTTTTCAGCACGTAATAAATATTGTTGATCGATTTCATTATCTTGCTGTTCTAGGCTGTTGAATTTCGATAGCATTGCTAAATGTGAATGTAACATATTAGGATTAACTACACCATCAATGTTCACATGTTCAACTTGGATAGTCTCCATAGTCTTGTCGGATACAATGCCAGACGTTAAGTTAGTGCTATTTTCATCTGATGGCTGCATAGAAAGCTTGGAAGGGTCACTCTTTTCATTGTGTTTCTCAAGTGATGATAACATTTTAGTTATGATGTAAAAAGTTGTTAGCTCTCGTATTTATAATTATAACTAACGATTATCTAAATGATAAACAGTAATTAATAACTTAAAAATTTCCCATTGCAGAATTGTAGGAGATTAACGTTAACGCCAAAAAATTCCCCACTATGCATTATGTAACTTTAAATAGAAAATTAATACCTGTATAAGAAATTGTTTTGTGTTTCATTGATACGTAAGCATCACTTATTATCTAAGTCATACGTAAATCAAGCAAGCATGTGGTCCCATAAAAAATTAATTAATTCCTTTATGAAAATATTAAAATAGACCAAGCCATTTATATAGTTATCAAACGGGTTTGGGTCAAAATCCTCAAAAAATCCCGACAAATCCCGACAATCAAAAAAAGTTCATTGAGCAATTTTACTATATCTGATATAATCGCCTAAACCCTAAACCTAACCTAACATAGGCGCCCACCCTAACCTATGCACTCACCTAATACTACCCTAACTTAAATAAATTTTTGTTGTCGGGATTATGACCTGTCGTGACCGGCACCCTTATCAAACATATAAAAAATTTCATATACAGAGCATTAAATCAATAACTAGAAGTATAAAATGCTTCGTTCATTATTGTAGCCATCTTTTTAACGGAAAGATGGGTTATGCGTTCTCTATATGACATTACAATAAGTAATACAAGTTTATTTACAGCCTTATTTAATGCTCAATTAAAAATAAAAGTAAATACATCGGCTAGCATTGGTAAATCTAATATAAAAATAGGGCATTATAAATAACACACAGTCTTCTTTGCTATATATGCTGCCTTACTATTTGTTGTTCATGCCTACTTTCCTTATAATTTCCCACAAGATCATATCATGACCGGGAACCTTCCATGGGAAGATTCCCGGCCACAAATAATTATAATAAAGGTAGTCATCAACAGAGATTCCGATGATCATATGGGGCCTTTGCAGTAGAAAGGGCGGATACGTCAATATATATAATTTTGAGATAATTGAGTCACTTGTTTTGATTTTCGGACTGATCCGGGTTAATCAAAATTCACAATTTTGATTGGCTAAATATAACATGTGACTAACGGGTAATCTCGTGATGCGCTTGGTTTCAACTTCGCGCAACTTTCTTTTACATTACTTATCTTGATTTTTTATTATGCAAATTGACTTTCATTTATAATTGAAAAATGTTGTTCACATTGAAATTTACCAGAATTTAATGAAAACTCATTTTTTCATTTTGGGGTCGTATCCGCCCTTTCTACTGCAAAGCCCCCATATGATGCAGGCGGCCCTTTGGGCCATCGGTATCCTATGATTATCGATAACTTCTGTTGTAATTTTTAAGCTCCCAGGAAATTAATAACTTAAAGGTAATTTTATTACTATGTAATATAAGAATATTAAAAAGGGCTAACCTAATTGTAACAGCCTGTTACACATCTTATTTGTAACAACAAACTTAAGTTTAAAAGTTGTTATATAACATGTTATAAATAATTTTTATAAAATTGAAAAAAATGTATAAAATTTTTATAGAAATAAAAAAAGTTATATATATATAACAACCTATAAAATTTATTATTTGTAACAACTAACCCTAACTCTAAAAAATAAAATAAAATAGTATATCTTAATATGATTGGCTAATACTAAAGATGTTATACTATATAATAGAAAAAGAGAACAAATATTTTTAAAAAAGGTATCATAAATATACAACAATTATAAGAATTATAAATTATGTGAAGAGGATAAAAAAAACTTAGAAAAAGAAAATAAAAGTTTAAATCGTGTAATGGCATTATTCACGTTGATAATTCATTATATATTAATAAAGTAAGATAAAAAATTGAAGGAAAAAGATGACAATAAGGATATTTTAATTAGTAAATACCATAATTAGTTATTGAAGAGTTGACAAATGACGAATGCGGAGAGTGAAAACCACCAACGGAAGTACTGTAACAGAAACGGAAAAAACGAAAGAAATAGAGCAACTGACAGAAAAGTAAAAAACGTTATTGGAAGCAATAGGAGGAGGTAATATTCGTTTCATCTTTTTGTTTTTTTTCAATTTATAAAACAGAGCAAGTCAACATTTACACTAGATACCAATGCTTCAAATTTAGGTTGGTTCTCTAAATTAGAAAATTACTCGTATGCGAATAAATTTAAGCTTTGAAATTTTGTTACGATGAGTTTCTTTTCCTTGCATACACGACAAAAAATTCATCCATTATTGAAGTATTTGGATTATTCATCAATTCTGAACTATGATTTATAGTTTACTTTGAATCTACGCACATTACAATTTTTATTTAATAAAAAGTTATATAAAGCTCAACAATTGTATTGAACACAAATGTTGTATATATGTTTAAAAAAATAAAAAAAACGTTTCTACTATAATAAAATAATATACTATAATTTACTTTAATAATAGAACAAAGTTGAAAATGACAACTCTTTTTCATATTAAGCAATAAAATACATGAATAGTGAAACGGTTTATTATTAATAATAAACGATAATTGTGATGGTAATTTTACAATGATAGACAATAATAGATAAAAGCTCCAACGGCTTTTAATCATTGATACCAAAATTTGAAAAAAAATGCTACTTATTTTGTGTAAATAACTAATTCCTTTGGATATATTAATAAAGATAATAATAATCGAGAATATACTAATAAAAAGTATATAATTATAACAAATATTTACATGACAACAAGTACATTAACCTTCAAACTCAACTAATCACTTAATTCGCTCTAAAAATATCTATCAATAACTGCCTATGCGAATGAAATTGTTGTTCTGTAGCACTTTTAGGTAACAAAAATTGTACAGTTTTTGTTTCTTCTTCTTTGTCATCTTTGCTTTTAGGTGCACAAGAATTCTCAAACATAAACCCTTTTATACGGTTTAATACAGCTTCACCTCTTCGGTACAAAACATTTTCTGGAATCGATGGACCTGAAAAGCAGTCTATTTCCGCTGGAAGTAGTAGGAACGGTAGGGAAATGCACGAAATATCGAAGCGATCTACTGTCCGTAATATATTACGCAAACCGATAATTACGCCTGAGTTACCAGATAATTCTGATTTGGTTATTGCTTATTAAGGTAATATTTAAAGGTTATTATGCTGTTTATTTAATTTGGAAGATGCAATTAGAAGAAATGTTACAAAAATGTGAGCTTACATTCAAAGTCTATAACCAAATGGAATGCCACATGAACTAATGGTAGATTAGAGTGCTTTGTGATAAAAAAGTCGCCTAATTTGATAATTTTTTTTTTGTTTTTATTTAAATATGATCGATAAAAAAAAACACACACATAATATATACTCTACCTTCTTTCACAGGAATTGTACCATTAACCTCAGAAGCTGGAAAGTCTTTTTCAATAGCCTCAAATTGAGTTTCAACATTATCAAAATGAAATTCTGTGGATTCTTTACATCTTTTAAAAAATGCTATTTACATGAATTACCATATTGTTATTAGTTATTACGCTTAGAAAAAATGTTAATGGAAATTCTGAATTAAATTAGTAGTACCTTTATTAGCACTTTTACCAAATTTATATTTTGGCCAATCTCTGGGCGTCAATAGCAAAACAATTGCTGTCAAATCTTGCGAATACAAACTAGCAGCAGTTTGTGCCCTATATGCGGTATCACGTGCTTCGTCATTGGAAGGTTTAAGCAAGTCATCAATATCAGATGCTAAAAGACGAAGGTTATGTGTCGATTTCACTTGATTACCAAGTGAAATTGTAAATGATTCTACAAGTTGATGTTCATCAAATTGCATTATCGGACCATGTCTCTGGACAGTTCTTTATCATTAAATAAATGATTAATGAAAGGAATTAAATTCATATTATCAAAGATAAATAGATCATACATACTCGTCATCTTCGAGACCAAAATTTTCCATGGCTTTTCCCACTAGCCAACTAAATTTTTTCATTGAAGATGGCGTCGTCGTCCCGTTACTCTTCTGTTGTTGTAGAAATGACATTGGAGACCACGGGCTTTTCTTCTCTTGCTTTAGTACAGACAAGACTAACGGTTTACTGTTAGATTTTGAACGTTTGTGCGGAACCACTATTTCTTTTGTAGCAGAAATTATAGGAACTGAAGGGCGACGTTGTATATGTGCGTCAACTTTGCCTGTTTGTTCAAGAAGAAGAATGATAGCATTGTCCTAAAGAAAATTTACAATCACTTTAGAAATTATTTTGCTTTAAACAAAATATCTTGATAAAATAATTAACATTATACAATATTTTTATTGGTCATTTCAAGAGCAGCTTTAGCTTGTTCGCTGCTAAAACCCATTTCTTGTATTTGCGAGAGGGAACGTTCATCCTCCGGCTGTTTCAATAAAATTCATAAATATAACAAATATCATAATAAATATTTAGTTTACATGTAAGAATTCTTTTATAAAGGGAAATTTGATGCGCACTGTAAAAAATGGCGATTTCTTCTCATCAGCAGGGCTTGCAAACGCAGGAGGTTGCGGAGTCATTAATCCCGTTGATAACATTACTTCTGACATTGAACTAATACTTCCAGGACGGCTACGTGTCTGGTTCCCTTGTACAACTTTTGAAAGCTCTTTAGATACTTTTTTATTCTTTTTCATATCAGCTATAACCATTGACACTATCTCTTTTCCATCCAACCGAGATATACATGTTGTATCAGTGGATGATTGTTGTTCTGCTAAACATTGCTGATGTGCTTCATAAAGCTTGAGTACAAAATCACAGTATTCTTGTTTTTGATTTCGTTGCATCTCTACAAGCTCACTTTCCCATGTTGCTTGATTAAATTCAGATTCCTAAGTAGGAAAAGAGAAAAAAAAAGATATATATATCAGTTTGTTTTAATTTGAAATGGTTTATTAACACAATAGGTATAATTTACCTCGACTTGCATTTCAACTAACTTTTTAAAACCAGAATCTGCTGAACCAGATTCGACCATGCTTTCTACCTCTCTTTGATGACTTGAGGTTAAGAAAAAAGTAATTATATCATTGACATATTATACATAAGCAACACAAGACAAATTTTCATTACGTTTAATATTTGAATACGTACTTGTCTCTCTCTCTTTGATGCCTTAAAGATATATATGTTATAGATGTTGCATAATATAAAATAAAAATTGATTAGGCTTAATCTTTGAATACATACCTTTCATCAATTTCTGCCTTATCTTTTTCACGTGATGCCATCATTTCTTTGATTGAATTTTTGTAATCTTGTTCCAACTGTGACAAGATATCAAACATAAAGGGGACAGGGGAGTGAACTAAAGTATGAAAGGCTTTAGGAAAAATGTTCTATAGTTTAAAATGAAAAGTATTAATTAGCTAAGACAATGACAGATAAGTTAAAATAATCATAAAACTTTGAGTTACTTCTAAGGGACCGTCATTAAATCGAACTGTATGTTTTTTATATTTAGCAACAAGTCCTTTTTGAACTTGTTGTGCTACAGATTTATCAGTGACTAAATAAATCAAAAAAAAAAAAGAGTTGATAAAGAGACAAGTTGGTAAAATACAAAAACTTTTGGAGTAAAAATTTAATATTGCGTACTTTTTGCATCCTTTTCTAAATTTATTCGCCGACTCTCTTCCATCAACGATTCTATAACTGACATAATTGATACCTCCAAGTAACATGGTATATTGTTTTCATCCATAAAATGCCTGACCGTATCTAATAATAATTTCCCTTCTTTCAAGTGAATTGTGAAAGAAGATGAATCGCCCGATGATATTGTCAGGTGAAGGTTTACCGAAAGATTTTTGATAACTTTGGTTGTCGTCATCTTTACTAATTAATTATGAAATTACGGTGCTTATTTAAGCAATGCAATGCAAAGACTAAAGGTACTTTAGTGCAGACTTTAAAGATCGTCTTTTCTGATTGATAATTGTTCAAAAATTTGAATCGTTACCGTATATTTAATATCTAATCTATAATTATTAATTATTGATCGAAACGATCAAAACAAAGCTTACCCAATGAAAGAAAAGAATTTTTATTTCAATTCATCACCAAGAAACCTTAAACCAAATAAAGCGCATTCAAGTTAGTTAAATCCCATCATGCAAGATATTGTTTATTGTTTACAATGATCAACATAATACTTGGTATAAAAAAAAAAGTACTACGTAATATCGGTACATGCGAATCATCATTATGTCCGTAAACTCTTCTCGAGCCTTACCGTTCGTTACTAGACAATCTACCGACTACAAATTACATAATTACATTATTTTATATTTTAGTATATTTTAATATTCTAATTAATATTATTTAATTTTATTTCGTTTAATGCTATACATGCAACCTCCATACTATCCGACACCCGGTAGAATTGTTTTGTGATGCATTTCTTAGGAATATTCAAAGTTAGCCTACTTACCTTAGCAAATCTTGCCGCAGGACTTATTTACATAAAATGCGCGTACGTACATACATACATACGTACGTAGCATAAATGCTAATATAAAGGGAACAGCATGAGTAAGAAAGTTTGTATAATAGCTATAAAATGATTGTTGAAACCTAATTAAATTACTTTTGTAGGACTTGTAGATAAAAAAAAATCGGATTAAGATAAAGTTCTGGTGCCCGCTCTGAAATATTTATTGTTACTTATGTTACACGGGTTTAAAAGATCCTTATTGTCAGACAAGATAGGAAGTGATCACTATACTAACACAATTATCTGATTTGTTGGTTTTCTTCTTGGGTAGAAATTTAAACGGTATTTGGCGTTTTTTGCCACACAAATATGCTGGTGAAATAAATTTAACCTATTGTTTAATTTCACTGGAATCTTTATATTCTATGTGAAAATGCATATCTGTGGAATTCTGATAAATAGAAAAACCCCATGAGCCGTAGCTCTGGTCAATTTTCAAATCATTTGGCCTAATTTGAAATTATCTGACTTCAAAACTGGCCAAATGATCTGCAAATTTGACTAGAGTTACGGCTCAGGTTTTTTCTATTTATATAATTTCACAATAGGCATTGTACTATTTTAAAATATAATGTGCGGAAATTATAGATTAACGCAGATAATAGCTATTCAGATAGCCTACGTATTAAGATATTGGCTTTACTGACAACGCAAGAGTTACTACTGCCAACCTGAAGCAACAAACTATGCTAGTGATGCCACACCTGCGAATGCTGTAATTGCCGGTCCACTATTGTCAAACCTATGAATTCTGGATAGGTAGATTAATTTGGTAGTTACCCGGGTAAACAACATTATACGACCTAAAAAAAATTAATATTAGCGTTCCGGCACATGTGCATTAATCGACTAAATCAAATGAAGTAAACAGCTTATTTTAAATACTTTGCCTAATATTATATACGTACTACGTATTGACTGAAGATAACTTAAATAAGAAATTACAGTAAGTGAATTGATCTTACTAAAATATGCTAGTGCCGCCTAATTTCTTTAAAACCTTTACCATACTGAGCCTCGGAAGAATTTTTGCATAATATAATTAAAGCACTTGTACGTATTATATACCCCACTTCACGTCTTGTAATGCCCAATTTATTAAATCAACATAATTTAAATGAGTGGTGAATAACCTATTTTATAATAAATGATTGTTATAAACGACATCTACATATAAGAAAATAGATAGTTTACCTTAAATTATTATTCTAATTAGTATAGTGAATATAATAGGCTTAAATAACTTGCTATAAATAAGAAAGATAAGATTAATATGTTAAAGACGTATACAGGTTGTATCTAAAGTAGCTACTTTAAATGAATATTGCATTTTTTTTTGGTATTTAGGGTAAAGTATAGTCTCTTTATATTTAGATATTAGTAAGAGTACAACTAGTTATTTATACAACTTTAGGTTGTTTATTTAAAGTTTCGCTCTAGGATTATTTACTAGTTACCATATCTAAAATTTAAATTAACTATTTTAAATACCTGAAATAGAATTTTAAATATTTAAATATATAGCTATTTTTAATATTTAAAATTATGTATTTAAAATAGTATATAATTTTAAATAAATATTAAATTATATGATTATTTTAAATACAAGCTATATATTTAATTATTTAAAATATTTGTTTTAAATATTTATTTTAAACTATTACTATTAATGTTCCTATCCACTATCCATTTATCCATTTATCGAATATCTGTGAATTTATTCGGATATTCGTTTTACTATTGATATCCGAATACCTGTCGGATAATCAGATACTGAGATAAACGGATGACGGTTTATCCGGATTGGACCTCTAATTACTATAATTTAATTGTAAAATATATACTAAAAGTATTAGAAATATGCTATAAAATAAATACTAGAATTTAAATAAATTTTATAAAAGTCAAATTAAAAACAATTATAAAAAATATGTTTATATTTAAAGTAAAAAATAATTAATTATCAAAATTTTAAAATAATGTTAATATCTTGTAATTTAAAAGTTTAAATAAATAATTTTTAAAAATATAATAATATAGTATAGTGGTTGAGTTGTTATTTCTCTAATTGTCAATTAGCTAAATTTAGGTTTATAACTATAATTATATTAATATGTATTAAAACAATATAAAAAGTTTAGAACATTTACTGTATTTATTGGACGTGGGCACCCCATGGCATGTACCCTCTACCAGTTTTAAAGAGCTGGATGGCGATTTATATCCAGGTACATAAGTATGATATATATAGTAAAGTATATTGTTCAATATAGTGTAAAAGTACTCGGGTACAAATATCAAGATATGTAAATACCCGGGGTACCTACGTCCAATAAATATGGTATATAGTTTGTATCAAAGATGGCGTCGAAACAAAACCTACTCGAAACTAGTTTCGGAAGGGTTCTAATCCAAAACTAGTTTCAGATTTTTTAAAAAAAATTGAAACTCCAAAACCTGAAACCCGAAACCTCGAAACTATAATCCAAAACCCAAAACTATAACCCGAAACCTAAAACTATAATTCAAAACTATAATCCAAAACTTAAAAATATAATATACAATCTTTAGAAGTTCTAAAAACTTATATTTATTTTAATAATATATTTAATAAACAACTATATTTATAAATAGTTTATATATCTAATCATCACCTTCTCCAAGTGGCAGGTCTAGAGTTCAAATCCCACTGGTGACAATATTTGAAAAATAGGCCTGTATTTGGTTGACAGCTATGCTTATTGGTTAGATCTAGAACTAAATCTGTAACTTCGGTCACACCATTTAGTAATGGGAGCTTTGGCACAATAAATCTGAGGAACCAGCATAACTGAAAACCTATTTGGGAAGTTCCGAATTTGGATATAACAGTAATCTTTGACAGTATCACAGAAGAGCTGAATTCAAACCAGGGCCCAGGATCAGAGAACTAAGCAACCTGAACCATCAGGTTGTCGCACCAGAGAAAAAAGACATATGCTCTGAAAGTATGAACCAAGAGGAGGGCATTCTTCAGGCATCTAAAGCCTAGACAGACCAATCCTTCTGGGTTGCCAGCTAGAAGTAAGGAAGAGACTGATAAAGAATCTAGATAAGGAGATGGTTTCAAGTGTAGATACCAGGGTTGTTGTGAATTGATTAAGGGCAATGAGTATGTAATGAGAAACTAATTAGAAAGGTTGTAGCTTGAGATACAAATCGGGTTATAGCAGTGTTCTAAAGAGCAGCTTGATATATGAACTTGGTAATAGTAGCACAACAGGTGCTAACTAGGAAGATATTATAGAACAGGTAGGTGAATGTATATGTGGAATATGTATTGCACTGTTGGGCTTACCTTTGAGGATAGTAAAGTGTTCTAAGTTGGCTGATTATATAGTGGTATCACAAAACCTATATTTGAATAGTGAGTTATACCTGTGTTAAGATAAGTGTTAGATAAAATATATTAAGACTAGAAGGTTTAAACAGGTATTCTTATAGTTGGGGTACAGATATGGCAGATAGTGTAGAACCCTTAGTATAGCACAACTGCTTTGGGCAGACTACTTAAATTAGGTACCAAAAGTACATGTATGGCTTGATGTTCCTTTGTTACAATGTATAGTGCCTGAACTCGACTTAATAAAATTTGGCAACCAAGAAGGTCTCCTTTAAAAAAATAATAATAATAATAAAAAAATAAATAGTTTATATAATATAAATAAAAATTTTCTATTATATGCTTAAGATAAAAAAACCTTAATTATTTAAAGAAAAAATCTTAATATATAATATAAAATTAAATATAAATAAAAATATAATTATTTAATTTTAAAAATAATAAGTTTCATTAATATCATCAAAATGTTTTTGTACTATTTGGCTTGGATCATAATCTTCTTTATCTTTTAAATATTAAATAAATGTAGTTATTTCATCTTCATTTAAGTTTTCAATTATTTGATTATTATCTGTATCTTCAAAATTATTATTTTCTAAATCAATTATTTCTAATAAATTTAGATTTTCTTATATAGTTCTTTTATCATTATCTAAATTATACTTATCTAAATTAATATTTTCTGTTTCATCATTATTATCTTATTTTTCTTCTTCAATTTGTGCATTATATAATTCTTGATAAATTTTATCTACTGTATGTCTTTACTATAAATTTAATTTAAATTCTTTGTTATTAATATAATATGAATGAATTTTAATTAAAGATTCTAAATTTTTAACAGATAAATTTATTTTTCTTTTTCCTTTTATATATCTACAAATAGACTAAATTCTTTTACAACTTGCTATATATGGAGTAATAGAAAAAAGTTTAATTTTAAGTAATTGTAAAT